TCTTCCTAAGCTTCCAACTTGAATCAATAAAATGAGCAGTAATGACCATGTAACTAACCGCAGTGTAGGGAGCAGTCCATATATCTGTTGTAAGAGAGAGCCTTTGATTGTTCTGTCCAAGAACTTTCTTCATTTCTGCTTTCCTCGTAGCATACAAAGCCACAATCTCCTTGGTGCATGTTTTCCTACAGACAGGCGGATTCAACTTCACTTTATTGCAGAAGTGTTTCCATGCTAAGCTTTCCACAAAAGCAAAAGGCAACTCAGCTAAGACAATCATCTCATTGGTAGCATCTTTGAATACCTTGTCATCCACCTTACACAAACTCAAGTTACCTTCTTCATTAGGAGTTAACTGTGACTGGTCTTTAGATGCATTTGCAGCCTTCCATGCCATGTATGACCTACAAGCATTGATATGCTTATTCAGATTAGAGGTCCCAGACGATGTTGGACAGCTCATATCCCTCTTACAGTAGCGGCATTTACATTTGTTGTAGTCATTTGGTAGTCTGTTGAAGTGATTCCAGACAAGAGACCTTGTCTTCTTCCTTGAACCAGAACCAGAACCAGAACCACCAGCTTCATCTCTCTCGTTTCTTTTGCCTGAATCTGGTGTTTGTACATCTTCTTCTGAAACAAAGTCTTCATCCATTGGTTGATGATTAACTTCGTCCTGTTGATGAGTTGGAGAAGAATCCATCTACATACGATAAGAACTAAGACCAATTAGAATAAGTAAATCATACTTTCCTAAGTCTAAGAAGTAAGAATCTAAGACTATCAATTATCAAAGCTATCATACTAACGCTATCATAGAATCCAAATCCATATAACTTAATCGATATATCTAAATCGACAATCAAAATCGTTTCTCACCTCTGAATGAACTCTAGAAGTTGCAGACGATGGAGACAGAAGATGATTCACTAGAGGTTCCAGCTTGACTATTTTTGAGTACAACGGTTGTTCTATTTGTAGGGAAATCTTCGATTCGATTGCTATAATGAAGTGGAGAAGACGAAACGAAAAGCTAGGGTTTGTATTTGGGGAATTGAGGTTTCNTATTTTTGAGTACAACGGTTGTTCTATTTGTAGGGAAATCTTCGATTCGATTGCTATAATGAAGTGGAGAAGACGAAACGAAAAGCTAGGGTTTGTATTTGGGGAATTGAGGTTTCTCTCGACAATCATCTTGAGGAAGCAGGCGTGCAAGGATTGTCTCATGTCTCGATTCGAGTCTCGAGAAGGTGACTTAAAGCTACCTACTTTCTAACGGTCATGTCTTGATTCGGGTTATGTCGGGTATCCGAAAAAAATCGGGTAAAACCCGGATCCGACCCGTTACCCATGGTTTTTTTAATCACTACCCGTCGGTTATAATTGGCTGTACCGAAACCGATCCGAACCGGTCAAATCGGGTCGATTCCGGTTCGGTTAATCGGTTCCGGGTTTAAGTCGCAGGCCTAACTCCGGTGCCTCAAACTCAGTCTCAAACTCGAGTACCTCCTTCTTGTAGCGGCGAAGGTGCTTCAAATCGTCAACCTGGGCAGAGAAAGTCTCCATCTCCTCCACTCGAAGAATCCCCACTGTCTCCACTTCATGGAGCTCCATCGCCTCACAGTTCTCATGCACAAAACTGTCATGAAGACCCAGAAGAATTTTCTGAGTTCGAAGCTCCAGTTGAACCCAATTTCTCGGAGGACGTGATGGATGTAATAAACACGATGATAACCCAACCAGGTCGAGAGGAGTGCACAATGGTTCTGTCTCGTAACCTCGAGCCTGTTACAACGTGGTATGGTTTCTCTACTTTGTGTGACTTTAGTTTAGTTTAGTGTGAGTTTAGTTTAGTGTGAGTTAGGTTTCTCTACTTTGTGTGACTTTAGTTTAGTTTAGTGTGAGTTTAGTTTAGTGTGAGTTTGGTTCTGTTGTGAAATAAGCTTGATAAAAGAATAAGCTTTTTGTTTCAAAACTAATAGAAGAATAAGTTTGGTCCCTAGAAAGAACCTAGAAATAAAATTACTCGTGATTACTCATTAGTTCTAATAATGTGATTGCTTATTACTTGTTTCGTCTAGTTGTTGTCATGATCCCTCCTTGACCCAATAGCAACTTCCTCTTTTAAAAGCTTTTTTCTGATTTGATTTTGATTATATGTTTCTAATATCATGGGATCATATTGAAATTATCATTCTCGTTACTTCTTTGACATTAATAATGCCTTGAGTGTAGTTACTGGTTTTTGTTGTAGGTTTGGTTAATTATCTAATTAGGTTTTGTTTGTGTTGTAGGTTTGGTTATGACAAATCCAGCTTGACCCGTAGGATAACCAAGATTAATACCAAGAAGTTTGATAAGCCATTCTATAGCTGGTCATGTGTGCCTAGAGATAGACAAGAAGGATACTTCGTTGAATTTGCGGTAACCTTCTCTATCTATTACATTTTGTTTATTGTTATTTCTTTTGTGATGACTAACATATATTTTTCTGTTGTTTTACAGAAAAAAACACACATGGAATCCCATGTTAACCGGTCTTGTCCAAGAACACTTTGAATCCATTTGCCAGCTACGAATGAAAGGTATGGTCAGTAAAGCAGGAACCACTCGAGAGAAACCCACCTGGATAGGAGATACACTGTGGGAAGAAATGACTACTTTTTGGGACACTGAGGCAGCAAAGGCAAAGAGCCGCAAAGCATCAGCAAATCGACGGTCTGAGCGTAATGGTCTTGGTATGTACAAGAATAACACAGGTCAGAAGTCTTATATGCAAATCGAACAAGAGCTGGTGAGTCCCATTTTCTTTCTCTCGTTTTCTCCAACACTTCACTAATGTATGTGTTTCTTCTTTTTCATATCAGATAGTCAAGTTGGGAAGACCTGTGAGTTTTGGTGAAGTATTCATCAAGGCTCATACAAAAGCAGATGGAACCTATGTCGATTTCAAAGCAAAAAAAGTTGCTGAGGTTTACAAAAATAAAAAGGAAGAGAAGTTGGCTAACCTTGAGAAGGAGGATAACACTAAAATCTTAGAGGGACATCATCGAATGCTATCAGTAGAAGAGGACAACGAGCTGTTTATTCAGGTTAGTGTTTAAAAAAAGTAAAAAAAATTACAGTCTTATGTTTTTGCATTAAAAGTTTGAATATTGTTTGGAAATTGACTTCTTATGACTGTCTCAATATGTTTTTTGTTGTAGTCAACCTTCTGCAATGACAGAGGAGACCTTTTCAGGCTTGGAAGCTTGAAGCAAAAGCTTAAGAGAAAACCAAACGACCCTTGCAACTCCTCTTCTTTCATGGACATGCTACAGAAGATTGAAGAAGCTGAACGCAAGATAGAAGAACATGCGGCTCTTCTTGCCAAGGAAAAGGAAGACCGTGCTCGGGAACAAGCTAATAACAAGGCTATGATGGCTGAGTTCAACCTTATGCAAAGGTTTATCCGTTCAACTGACCCAAGGTACCATGCTTTCATTACCTCTGAAGCATCATCTCCACCTCATCCTGATCAGTAAAATTATCTTCGGTTTTCTTATCTTCTCATATTTTGGTGTTTTGGTATTTTGAACATAAAACAATTCAACTGTTGGAATTGTTTTATGATCTTATGTATCTTTTTGGTATGTATATGGGATGTTTCTATGTATTTAGGATTCCAAAACAATGTATATCTAATTCCAATATCCTTTTGGTATGTATATAAAGAACTTATATGTGTATTTAGGATTCCAAAACAAAAACCAAAATGAATCAAAATAAAACCCGAAATATATGCTCACATTTGTTGTCCCGTAGTCTCTCTTTTCAGTCGCTAAACAGTCAGTAAAACGTGGCTAAGTCGCTAAATTACCGACTGTTTAACAACTTTATAGTAGTCACTAAAGTACGTCATTACTCAGTCGTTATTTTAGCGACTATTTAAGAAGTATTTAGCGACTATTTGATGACAACCATATCGGTCGCTAATCAGTCTTTAATTAGCGACTGATTAGCGACCGATTTATTTACCGACGATCAATATAACAACAGCCTTAATTAGTCGCTAATCAGTTACTAATCTTGATTTAGCGACTGATAAGCTACTATTCCTACTAGGCCTGGGCATCCGGGTCCTCGGGTCGGGTTCGGGTCGGATCATGTCGGGTCCGGGTCTTTCGGATCTTAGAAATTTAGACCCATATAGGTACCTATGATTTTTCGGGTCGGTTCCGGGTTGGGTCTTGCCGGGTCCGGGTCTATAATTCCAATACCTATAAAATACCCGTAAGTTTCGGTTCCATATCGGGTCCGGATCGGGTCCGGGTATTTAGAATCTAAAAAATACATAACATGCTCAAACTCACTCAAATTCAGTCAATATTTTTCATATATGTCTAAAATTTTGTTAAATAACTTAAATTAAACTATTAATAATTAAAGTAAACATTTTTAAACTCTAAGTTTTACATTTTAAAACTTTATATTACTTAAAAATGTTATAAATAATAATAAATATTGTTAACAAAATATATTTCAACTAAATTATAAAATAGTATAGATATATAAAACATAACACAAAAATAATAGCTTTGGATATATATGTTTATAAGTCGGGTACAAATCGGTTCTTATCGGGTCGGGTCTATTCGGGTCGGTTCTTTTCGGGTCCGGGTCTATTCGGGTCGGTTCTTTTCAGGGTCCGAGTCTATTCGGGTAAAAGAAATTTAGACCCAATAGGTACTTGTAAATTTTTGGGTCGGGTTCGGGTCGGGTATTTTCGGGTCGGTTCCGGTTCGGGTCTTCGGGTCCGGATAAAATGCCCAAGCCTAATTCCTACAGTAGCTAAATAACTGTTTTCTTGTAGTGACGTCACGTACGTATGTGCGTCGTGTGAGCGAGTACACACATATGTCTTGGAGGACGAGAATGGATTCTTTCGGGAGTTTGCATTGCTCTTGTATTATCCGCAACTGGTTTGATCCTGGCGAGGTTCGTGTCTTGGAAAGAAGAAAATGAGGTAACTTCTCGTGCAAGCAAGCAATCCAGAGTCTTCTTCATCACCTAGCAGAAACAACGATGGAAAAGAAGAAGAAAAAGAGAGTCTAGTTGATCGGCAAAACCGAGAGATTATCAGCTTGAATTCGAGACTAGAGGAGCTTCAGAGAAAGGACGACGATATTGAGTTGCGTTTCAAAAGTTATCGAAACTTGAAAGATCAAGAAGCCATGCTGATGGAGCAAAACAGCATGGTGTTTCTTCAGAAATCTCAGTTAGATTTGTTCCGTAGAGAAGTTTCGGTCATGGAGGAAGAACTCAAGAGGGGCCAAGATTTGGTGATTGTGTATATCAAACTGGTTGGAGAAATCCACGAGTTGAGATCAAAGAATAAGCTTCTTGAGGGAGAAGCGAAAAAGCTCAGGATAAGAGTGAAGCAATTACACCGTGTTGTAAACGAGAAGAGCAGGAAGAGGATTAAGAAGTTATTGAAGTGTCTCCATGAACTGGGGAAAAAGAATAACTTTGTGAAGGAACTTGAAGGTCAAGTAATAGGTTTGAAAGCCAACCTTGATTTGTTGCAAGAGGAAAAAGAAGTATACATGAAATCTGTAGAAAATTCAATGGTAACTTTTGATTCCTGGGATCTAAATTCAGTTATTAGATTCATTTGATGTTGACTGGCTTGTGTTGTTTTTGTTTTTTGGCTTTTGTGAAGATGGTGAGTGTAGAAGATCACAGAAGGGTCTTAGAAGAGAATGAGGATTTGAATACGGAAGTGATTTACCTGAGATGGATCAATGCTTGTTTGAGGAAAGAGATGATGAGAAACGGAACCGAATATGAGGACGCTCATGCATTGACAGTAGTAGCTGATGGGCATCATAAATGGGGGAAGAGGTTCATGAAGAATCTGAAGAGATGTGTTGGAGGACACTCTGGGACGGTGGAGCCTGATGAAGAAGGGATGTTTCATTCAAGAAGATATTGTTCTAGCGTGTAAATGAAACAGTCTCTTGCTAGCATTTCTCCAAGATTACTCTAGTCATGACAATGTTTTTCTTGTAATAATTATCAACAATTCTATAACCAACAATCTACCACTTTGATGAGGATTCATATCTGACACTTATATATGTGTTTATATGAACCACGCCAATCGTCTTGTTTAAAGATTTTCAACAAGTTTTTTTCTTCATCGTTAATCATTACCACGGGTCATAGAAATGACTGATGCAATGTTATCGTGGATTGTTTTATGCAAAATAAATAGACCACCGAAGGTCACATACCCTTAATGGGTCTCTTGATTAAACTTTAATATTGTTTTAAGGAATAAAGTAGGAAGAGATTTAGTGAAGAACCTTGATATATTTATGTCTCCATTGCAAATCTCTTGTTTTGAGAGTTCTTCAAAATAAAATAATATTAAAAATTTATATTAAAATTAAAACAAATTTTATTAAATAAACGTAATAAAAGATAATTAAGACATAGATTTTAAAATAAAAAGCATGAAAACAAAGTTTATTACACTAAAACGACATTGTTTTGAAAGATGCATCCGAGATCAGTTGTTGTCTTCATCAAGAGCTCCGTATTTAAGCCAAACATGTTCAACCAAATCAGCTTTTAGTTGATGATGCATTGGTGTATCACGGATTCTTCTTCGAGCACCCATCATATTGGTGATATTTGAAGGTATCTCTTGCTGAAAATCGAGATCGACATGTGAACTTCCGGTGCGTTCTCCTTGTTGGAACTCTGAAACATTAAATAGAGTGTATCCATTCGTTCGTTTTCTACTATCATATATAGAGAATGATACATGCTCTCATAATCTTCCCAATTTTGATTTTATTCCAAAAAAGTGCTGGATTTTTGACAATGGCAAACCGAGCTTGCAAGACTCCAAAATCACGCTCGACATCTTTTAGGAAAGCTTCTTGCTCTAGCAAATAAAACCACTTTCGGCTCTTGTGGCAGTGAAATAGACTGGATAAAAGTTTTCCATTTCGGGTAATACCATCAGTGAGATAGTAAGCCATATGATACTCTCTTCCATTGACATAGTAAGTGACTGGCTGAGCTTCACCATTTATTATGTCAGCAAAAACATGTGAGCGATCAAGAACATTGATATCATTTAAGGTACATGGAGGTCCAAAAAACGCATGTCATATCCATAGATCATATGAAGCAATCGCCTTTAAAACGATTGTTGGTTTACCCGAACCACGAGAATATTACCCTTTCCAAGCCGTGGGACAATTCTTCCACTCCCAATGCGTACAATCGATGCTTCCTATCATCCCGGGAAAGCCACGATACTCTCCAACATAAAGTAGACGTTGAAGATCAGCTGGTGTTGGTCTTCTTAAGTACTCATCGCCAAACAAATTTATTATGCCTTCAACAAAATTTTCCACACATAGCCGAGTTGTTGATTCAGCGAGCCGGAGGTATTCATCGACGGCATCAGCTGCAGAACCATACGCCAAGACACGAATGGCTGCCGAACATTTTTGAAGTGGAGAGAGACTACGCCTTCCGAGACCATCTGCCGTTTCCTGAAAATATTGAACTTCGTCGAAGAGTCGATCGACAATGTGCATGAACAATAGCTTGTTCATTCTAAAACGTCGTCGGAATAAATTATCAAGATACATAGGAGTTTGACAGAAACAATCATTCCATAAAAGAATATGCCCTTCTTCACGATGTATTTCGATATAAGCTCTTTTTTCTTCTTTCTTCTTGATCAGCATGAATGGTTAAATCCTCAAAAGCTTCATCGAAATGTTGATCAAAAAGCTCATTAAATGAATCTTCAAAGGCATCATCTAAAGAAATTAAAGTGATTTTAAAGAGAGGATGCCTTGTGAGATAAGAAAGAATTTGAAAGATTCAAACGTGAGAATCCGTTTGAGAGAGATAGAAAAAACTTGAGAGAGATAGAAGAACTTGAGAGAGAGAGAAAAAACTTGAGAGAGTATAAATGAAATACACTTTTATTTATAAAAATTCTGAGTTACACTGAGAGAGATAAAACAAAAACAATGTGTGTCCGTGACAATACAATGTGTGTCCGTGATACATGAAATAAATACAATGTGTGTCCGTGATACAAGAGAGCTTGTCTTTTTGACATGTCCTAAAGAGAATCCGTGATGCTCTCCAATGCTTGACATGTGATGATGATGTTCTCACTGTCAAGTCCGTGATACTCTCCAAGCTCCAGTCTGTCAAGAAACAGAAGTCACGAAGTCAAGAAAATAAACACAACCAGAATTCAAGACCAATAAACATAACAGAAACTGATATATTATAAAGTTAAAACAGAGGAACAACAATAGATTCGAGAACATAAAACAGAGCAACAACAACATATTTAAGAACATTAAACTAGAACATTAAACTAGACTTAAACTCATACTTAAGAGCAACAACAACACAGGAGAAACAACGGATTTAAGAACATAAAACTTAAAATACACTTAAACTCATACTTAAACTAGTCAACCAACAGCTCAGTCATCAGCTTTTTCTTTAGAGCTTCTTCGTACTCAGCCAAGGGTTCTGTCTGTCCAAGAATTTTCTCAAGTAGTTTCATGTTCATAACCCTTTCCTGCATGGCCAAGTCTTGTTGTTTAATTCCCCCACATAGTCTGAAACTGGGATAGCCTTTCCCATCAACATTCTTCTTCTGCTTCTCTTTTGCTGCCTTAACACCCGGAGGACGCTCCTCAGTCCCTGACTCATTTGCGTGTGAAGTCTCTGCCTGTGAACCCGCGACACACTTCCTCCTTTTAGTGTTTCCTTGGTTTTTAGATGTACCAAGGTCACACCATTTTTGATCATTCCGAAACCCCCTCCAGGCATGCTCAAGGATAAATTTTTTTTCGTGGTTGTTGGAAAATATTTCATGAGCTCTTTCGAGAACATCATTATCACTTTGCCCACTGGTTCTCTCTCTAGTTTCTGCTTCAAATGCCCCACAGAACTTGTTGACTTGATCATTGATCTTGTGCCGATGCTGCTTGCAATGACTTGCTTCTCGATGTTCAGTGGCTGCAACTTTGGGACTTGCGGCGAAGTAATCGGCTATCCTTTTCCAGAAGACCCCAGACCGTTGCTCATTTCCCACTACAGGATCTTTGCTGGTGTTGAGTCAGGAACTGATGAGCACCATATCTTCTACATGGGTCCACATCCTACGTTCCTTACGCTCAGCAGGACTGTCTTCAGGGACACTATCTCCTATTAAACTGAAGACACTTTGTTGACTCGTAAGGAGATCAACAAAGTTACTACTCTGCCGGTATAGATTGGAATCCATCCCCGATATTATAGCAGAAAGATACAAAGAAAAGAAAGTAAAACAGAAAGAAGGAAGAGAAGCAGAAGGAATGTTGATGACAGAAGAGAGAAAGAGGCGAACACATTCTTAAATACACCAAACAATTAAATGGAGTTGACATCAAACTAACACATTCATCACACTTCAAACTATCTACTAATTAACGTAGCCATTACACCTATTTATTTTTTACACAACCATAATTTTTCAGTAAGTACAACATTAACAACTTAACTCAACATTAAAGAGGTCAATAACTTCAAAAGAAGTGGGCATTTACCTGTATTTCTCTGCTTCACACTCCTCTGCTTCGAGGTTCCTTCACTGAGTACAACATTAACTACACATGAGCACACAAACAAAGAAACTCACAACAAGCTTCCATTCTTTCTCTACTTCTACACTCACAACAATAACAACGAAAAACAGAGGCAGACTGTTTCTATCTGACTCAACAAAAAAAAAAGATTTAAACTTTGAATCAGAGACAAACATCGTTTAACATCAGAGATAAGCAACATATCATATTATCAGCTACTGACTCCCAAAACCAAATCCGAATTAATCAAATAACAGAGTGAATTCCAATGAATTTTTTTTCTGGGAACTAAACTAAAAGCCCAGAAGAGAGGTAAACGAGAACGTGTAACACTCACCGGTACGGTAGATAAAGTTTTGAGCTTTAGATGGAGATGGAGTCAAGAAATGAGAAGGAAGCAAAGGATACCCTCTAGCAGATGCTCAGATGGCGCTGTCGAGGAGAGCTCCGTCGCCATTGATACACCAAATCGAACCAGACAAACAAAAAATACAAATCAAAATTGAGATCACAACAAGTTAAACATACAAAGAATCACATGCAAGATGAAACAATAGAAGAACCATACCTTTCGATTAAAGCCACCGCGGGAAAGCTCCGTCGCCGTCGAGGAGACACATAGAGAGACAGATTCAACCGATCGATTAGAACAAGAAGAGGCTCAATCACATGCATCATCGATCATATTTCCAAAAAAATCGCCTTCGTCGAGAGGATTCGAGAAAGAGAGAGATAGAGAAATAAATTTTTGATAAGCGTTTAACGCATAACCGACCCACCACCCTCTCGTTTATTGACATGCGTTCACCAATATACGTTCCTTCGCGAGCCAACAAATAACCCGTCTCTTCTGCTTTCTTCCTTTTTTAATTTTCTTTTAATCATATTTAATTCAAGAACTGGGTTAAATTAACCCCGATAAAGATGGTCTTAGCTTGCGTGGGTTCTCTTACCTTTACCCCTTGTTGCTCGGGTTGTATGATCCAATAAAACCGTTTGCTCTTCTTCATCGCTCATATTGGTAACTTGCTTACCTCCTAGCTCTGAAAGTTCAAAACTTTACAGAAATCTAACGATACACAAAAGAAAATCGGAGGTTAAAACTTGAAGTTTTTTGAATGGTGAACTGGTTCGTACTTTGAATGGGCTTTTTTAAAATTGAAAATCTCAATCAATAGTGAGTAATTATTTGATGGAGTCAAGTTTTGAAATGCACATTTTATATTTAATACATTTTTGTCATTTTTACTTTTGTGGATCCTCGTGGAATAGTGTTTTCACACCCGATCCAAACCCGCGATCGGACAAACAAATCTGGTGACCTGTTAAGTAATTCGTTTTGAATTTTAAAAAACATCCACTAAATAATTTTTTTAAAGGTTTTAATTATTTTATTAGATATATTTTATATTTTAAAATAATAAGTTTCTTTTTACTTTTAAATATTTTAGCTTTCTGGTGAAATTATCATTTATGTACGGTCACATATACTCTATAGCCTTCAACTTTATTTGAAATTGTTTGTTCATTTTGTTCATCGTGAATAAAATTTGTTTTAGATTTTTATGTTCAAACATCTATACTATAAATTATTTTTTTATATTCTTTTCATCAATCACATGATTTTATCTTGTTTTTGATTTTTCATTTTCTAAATAAATAATTTTTTATTTTGAATCAAATTTATTGATCTCATTAAATATTTTGAAAATAATATATAATATGAACTAAACTATTTTTTGGAATATTTAGTTTATATGTATATATATATATATATATTCTGTTATGCTACCTGAAGAATATTAGCAAACGATGATAAAAACCAATTATTTAATGAGATTTGGTATTAATTTATTTTTGTTAAAAAAATCTATTACAATTTCAATGTTTATTTTTTTATTTTGATATCAAATTACTTTTATTTTTATATTAGTTATATAAAAATTATGAGATTTAAGTTTTGTTATGTTTTATTATATGTTCTAATTCCTAAATGCTTACAAAAAATTATTAAATAATTTAAAATATTTTTAAGTGAAATGAAAAATAAAAAGAAAGAGACTAGATTTTAAGTATTTTTATTTTTTAAGAAATGTGAAAATTATATTATATTTTTAATAGTTAATATATAATTATATATTAAAACTAATTAACTTATTAATCAACAGTCGATCCAATAACCTGGTGATCCAAAAATTTGCTGATTTATTGTCCGGATCAGGTTTATAAATGCGTTGAAGTTTTATGGCCTATTGATATTGGTTAAGGTATAAAGGTTTCTACACCAAATTTAAGATTCAGTTTAGAGTATGTAATTTCTTGTAAGATTATAAGATGTAAAATGTATCAAAAATTCCAGTGATGAGGCAAAATCGTTCAATGTGGTCATGTGGTACGGAAAAAGCATGTCCGAGTATTGGAGAGATATATCATGGAATGATTTTCCGTGTAATTATTCATCAATATTACTTATATTTCAGCTAATTGTTCATCATATAGAATAGAAACAAAGATTTGATTAGTGGATAAAAAAGAGAGGAGAATTCTTGTGTCATACTTGGGAGGTGCTCTAATCTCATGCATGTGGAAAATGAACTACAATATACAAATGATTTGGGCAAAACGTCCCAGTTTTCTTTTAGGTATTGAAGCCTCTGGATCCGAAGTGAGGTTTTTGTTATTTATCATAACATTTATAATAGCCAACCAATACTGAAATTTTAGTAGAAGGATTTGAACTCTGGTCTCCTATAATGCATCAGAAGTATTTCAGTTTTCATAAATGTTCTATAGTATTGAAGCTAAAACTTTTGGTTACATAAAGTGTTGCTTTTATTTAGAACTAGAGTAAGAAAAGTGCTAGAACTCGAAGTAGAAGTATGGAAAGGTAATTTGAATTGAGACAAGGGAAAGTTTAAGCAAAAAAAAGAAGACAAGGGAAAATGTTGGAGCTTAAACACACACATTTGATTTAAAACATAATTTGAGTAAAACTCACATAATTTATTAAAACAACAACGTAATCAGTTTCTGGATTTAACTTGTTCCATAATGTCTTCTAAGAGGAGAGTAATGTTAGCATGAGAAGAACCTCCTTCCTCCACAGCCTTATGTGCTAATTCTCCAAGCTCTTTGGCTCTTCTTCTTCTCTCAAAAGCATCATCACAATCACCCATTAACTCTTCCACTGCTTTCTTAACTCTTTCTTTATCCACCAATACTCCTATTTTCTCCTCTTCACCCCATATCATAGGCTCCTCAACCCCGATTTTCACACCGGTTTTTAACACCTGCACGACTAATTTCTCGTTGGAGAATTGGTCAGCAAATAGCGGCCATGTAATCAGCGGTAGACCAGAGGTTATCCCTTCAAGAGTTGAGTTCCATCCACAATGGGTTAAGAACCCTCCTACAGACAAATGTTGAAGAATAACCATTTGAGGAGACCATCCTTTGATGAGAAGGCCTCTCTCTTTGATTCTTTCTTCGAACCCGCTCTCCGTGATCCACTCTGCTAGCTCATTATACTTTTCCCAGCTTCGTATGACCCAAATGAAAGGTCTTTTGGATTCCTCAAGGCCTAGCCCGAGCTCCTTAAGCTGTTCCAAGGTAAGGTTGCAAATGCTACCAAGGCAAACATATAGCACTGACCCTTCTTCTTTAGAATCAAGCCATTTAATACAATCTTCTTGGTTAATGTCAGACTTTTTCCCCCTTTCAGCTTGATCTGCTCCCAACTTGTTGCACAAGGCAACAGGTCCTAGGGTCCATACTTTACCATCCCTAGCCTTCTTAAGTTCTTTGACATAAGCTGGTTCGAGCTCTTCAAATGTGTTGACAATAACACCAAAAGATGTTGTATCCGCCTCATTTAAATCGCTAAGCAGAATTTTCCAATCTCCATAAGGATGTGTATCCAAAGGAACTTGAAGTTTTGTATATTCAACTTTGTCAGGAAAAGAGGGAAGGAGGAAATACTCTTTGTCTGACTTTATATTCTCCAGCATCTCACAGTTATTGCGTAAAACATGCATACACAGAAGACAAAAGCTAGAAAAGCCATGGAAAACGATCTTTGGTATACCCAACCTCTTAGCAATTTTGTTTGTATAAAACAAACACACATCGGAAATTATACAGCTTGGTCGAGGTGTCATCTCTTCAATTAGCTTCTGGACCGGTTCTTCGAGCATGTTAACCGCTTTAAGAAAAGTTGCCATCAACCCCATTGACTCAAGAAAATCTACATTATCTTGTCCTTCTGGTAAACCAGCTTCTTGATGTGGAAACTTGACATGGACCAGGTTGATAGACAAGCCAGACTCGATGGCACGGTGTAAGACGTTTTTGAACCTCTCTGCGTTGTTAGGAGTTGTGATGATTGTTATGGCCACACCACGCTGAGCCAAAAGCTTTGCAATATCGACCATTGGAATCATGTGGCCTTGAGCCATGAAGGGGAAGAGAACAAAGTGAAGTGAAGAATATGAGTGGTGGCTAACTTCAGAAGCCATGGCTGCTAGTTTTTTGGTTTGGTCTTGAACAATGAGTGTGCATAAGCATATATAGATGCAAAAGAATCGTGAATAGAAACAATATATTGGAGAAAGAAAAAGAATTTGACCAAAGTGACATCATTGGTAAGAAATCATTTTAAATCTCGTCCCCAATGACACATACACTGGACATTAATTGAATATTTTCATTACGTATTTTCTATTTCTTAATTCTTTTTTGTATATATAGATTTGCTTCTTTGTAAACTTTGAAGTGCTGAAGAATTTCTGTATTTGAAATTAGATTCTTCCTTTTTCAGAAATTTACAATATATCCTTCTTTTTACAGAAATCTATAGAAATATATTGAGACTTCTTTTTAGTTTTGGAGTATCTCAGACCCATAGAAAAGTTCAACTAATCTCCAAAGAGATAATTCTAAAACCACAGAAAAGGAAAAAGATAATATATATATATATATATATATATATATATATATATATATATATATATATATGTATATATATATATATAAAGTTTGGTTCTTCAAAATTACTAATTAACACGATCACGACATATAGCAGTTGTATATCTAAATTTTTGACATGTGTTAATATTAAATTTACTTTTCTAAAATTATAAAGAAAAGATAACTGTATAAAATTTTGATAGTAATTATCTTTTTAAAAAATCTTAAAAAAAAATTTGTAAAAGAGTGTTTAATGTTAATTTTTTGATAATGCATATAAGAATTAAGAATCTTGAATAGAAGCAATATATTGGAGAAAGAAAAAGACATTGACCAAAGTGACATCATTGGTCAATAATAAACACACTGGATATTCACTGAATACTTTCATTACGTATATTGTATTTCTTAGTTGTTTTGTATATTTAGATTTGCTTCTTTGCAAACTTTGAAGTGCTGGCGAATTTATGTATTTGGAATCAGATTCTTCCTTTTCAGAAATTTACAATATATCCTTCCTTTTCCGGAAATCTATAGGAATATATTTTGATTTTTTAATTAATCTGGAGTATCATGGACTTTTATCTAAATATTCAATTGGACCATAAGTAAGAGTCCCTATATATGTAGGTGTCACCAATAATGTGAATTAAGGGGTTATTGGTAATTGAATTCTTACGAACTTTGGAAATTTTGAGATTTCATTGTTATTGGTTCATAAATTTTAAAAATTTTAGTAAAATATATTGTTATTAGTTTAACAGTTTTCAAAATCTCTACAAAACCTTTGTTATACAAAAATTTAGTTATAATTGATTCTTTAATTATAACTAACAAAGTTTCACTAAGAGATGAATTTTTACATTTTTACTCATAATACATAATTTTCAAAATATCATATATATCCATAAGATTTGCAAAATCCATGTAGTAAAAAAAATGTAAGAAAACAAAATAGTTATTCTTATCAAATATCTATTACACATTTAATCCAAATTATGTCAAATTTTGTTATTCTTTACATTTTATTGACATACCTTTTGAATGTATAGTTATACTTTTATTGTTTTATCACTACAAGAAAACAAAAATAACATATGAATTACTAAATAAACACAATATAGTTAAAGTTGTTGATACAATATTCATCTTATAATAGTAACATAATTTTATATTTATCATTATTGTTTTGTTTTTAACAAATATTTTTTACAAGAAAAGCAAAAAAAAAAAAATCATGCTGTACTGAAAGAAAACAGTTTTGGAAAAATTTAGAAAATATAAATCATATATTTACTTTTCAAAAGAAATAATATAAAAGAGGTAATACAAACTCATGAAATCTATTTCAATCTCAAAACATTATTACCAAATTTTAGAAGTCACCACATATATATTTTCACAATCTATGTGACTTTTAAAATTTACCAACATTTAAAATCGACAAACTTTATACAAAATAATATTTCAACGCGTAATAGGTGGATCCAACCTTGTGTTGACTTCCCAAGTTCGTCCTCTACAATTCGACCACAAGATGACGAACAATATATTGAAACTTAAAAAGAAAGATGATTCCCAAGAACAGAAAAGGAAAAATCTAATACGCAGGTTGCTATTACCACAAATTCAAAAAATATATATAACTCTTAGTATTCTTTGTCTTTTGATATAAATTATAAATCTGTTAAGAAAATTTGACACAATAATATTTTTATTTCAATACATAGAACTAATTTCAGATATATCGTAGTATATATTATTTAAACTTCATAACCAAAACTAAAAGTAAGGACTGTAGGTGTAGATTAGATTATTAGAAAAAAAAACGCTCTGACTTCTCACTAGTTTACCACCGTGATTAACGTTTCCCGGCCGATGGCGTGGACTTCCACAGCCACCGTCGGTCCGGCAAAGCTTTGTGTTTTTTCTTTTCGTTTTTTTTATTTCGGTCGTTTACTTTTTTTATTTTAGATTCGGCGTCGCACTTCCTTGGTGGTCGTCCGCTTTTGCCTCCGGGAAGTGGGTTTCAACATATACCTTCTCCGGCTTTGTCTTCGGGATACGGTGGCTTGTTTAGCATCGCTTATCGCCGGTTTTTTATGGGGTTCTTATTGTAAAAGCGATCTATGAATCTCTAAAAATAAGATCTATCGAGCTTAATCTATTGAAGATGAAAGCTTGATTGATAATGCTATTAATGGTTCATGGATTTTTTTTTTCTCTTGTAACAACTCATTGTTGAGTTGGGTTTGTGTGGGTGCATGGGTGTCGACGTGAGTCGTCGTGTTGTGGCTCGGATGCCGACGAGGTTGTGTGGTGATGCCGACGAGGTCTGTGGAAGACTGTGGCGATGGAGTGTCAGAGATGGTGATGCATGATTCCTGGAGTGGTCCGGTGAGTCGCCTTTTGGTTCCTGGCGGTCTCACGGTGTTCTCCGGTGGTGACGCTAAGCGGCGAAGCGGTGAAGGCCCGGGTGACGCGTGTCCCTCGTTTGGTGAGGAGTTAACACGTGGCTCGTCTTTTAATTTCCTTTAGGCGCGTGGTCCAAACCGTAATGCTTAGGTCGTAGTAGTTTGGGCTTCAGGCCCAGTTTGTATTTTAATCTTGCCTGCCCATTTGTATCTGGGCTTCATATGTTTGTAAATGTTTTAACCTGACTTGGGCTTGGGCTTGGGCCTTATATTAATAATAATAATAATAATAATAGATGGCAAAAAAAATAAAAAATTAAGGACTATAGCCATCACTAGGACTCTAGATCTAGTATTATTTTGTGCCGAACAACAGCCACCAATCTAAACAAAAAAGTTTGGCCATGCAAACACGTAGACGTGAAAGCGGGATAACTCACCCGTCGACTGTTAGGAACTTGAAATTTTCAAAAAGAATTACTCCCTCCGTTCGTTATAATTCTCATTCTAAAATTTTGCACATAAATTAAGGAAACATTTAATTTTACATATTTTCAAAACAAAAACACAATTACCTATACACCTAACCACTTTTCAACCAATAAAAAAATAAAATCTATACTATTATTTGCGAAGTGATTTTTCGCAATAGAGCTCTCACGTTAAAAGTTAGCATGGTTAATATCATTTATACCCTTAATGAAAAATATAAATTATACACAAAATAAAAACGAATTTTAATTCTATTAATTAGATAAGTGATTAAAATTAGTAATGATAATAAGAATTATGATAAGAATTATCCATAATCTAAATATATTTAAAAATAAAAAGATAATTTCTATATATATATATATATTGTGTTGTTATCCGGAAAATATATTTTAATAAAATATCAACACAGAGAACACATAAATAAATATTTATAAAGTACATTTTTAATTTTATATAATTTAAAAGAGAAAATTGAAAAATTTATAATACGTAATTATTATCAAATTAAAAGAATATAATAATATAATCGAATGCTATATATTTGTGAAGTATTTTTTCGCCTTTGAACTCACACGTTAAATTAAATTTATTTTTATATTTCATATAGTTAAACATTAAACATCTATCAATCATAATAAAATAAAAAAATCATTCGGAAAAAAATAAAATACGTGTATGACAAAAATAAATTCAAATATATTGTATTATTATCCAAATTAATATTATTTTTCAGTAAGATCAATTTTTGAATGTATATTTATCGATTCAATTTATCAAATTGAAAGATAGGATTCTATATTGTTTTATCAACTAAGAAGAAATGAAATAGACTTTAGATTTTTTTCAAAGTTTTAAAGGAAAAAATAGATTTTTTAAAAACTTTGTGAATAATTTTATCATGTAAAAAATTTAATGTTTTAGGTCAATTTTTTTGCATGAAAATAATCATTTATTTTGATGATAATTATAAATTGACTTAGAGATAATTAAGCCCGCATGTGCGGGCAAAACACCTAGTATATATAAAACTAATAAATTTTGCCTCGAACTCTAAAACGACACTTAATTTGTGACAAAAAATTAAGCTTACAAAGACAAGTATTCTAAAGCGGAGTAAGTATTCCTTATCTTTTCTTTTAAAATACTTGATAAAATACAAATATGATAATCGTAGTTATTTTTTTAAATAGTAGTAAATAATAAAAACATCTTAAAAAAAAAAAAAAAACAAATAACTTATCAGTTCTTGGATTGTGCTAGTAGTTGTGATATATCTTCTAAGAGGAGCGTGATATTAGAATGAGAAGAACCTCCTTCATCCACAGTCATGTGAGCTAATTCTCCGATCTCTTTGACTCTTCCTCTTCTCTCTTTTGCTTCATCACTCTCACCCATTAATTCTTCCACTGCCTTCTTTACTCCTCCTTGATCCACCAGCACTCCTATTTTCTCCTCCTCTCCCCATTTCATAACGTCTTCCACCCCAGAGCTTACACCGACTTTAAGAACCTGAATAACCAGTTTTTGGTTGCAGAATTGGTCTCCAAATAACGGCCAAGTGAGCAGTGGAACACCTGAAGTGATTCCTTCTAGAGTCGAGTTCCATCCACAATGAGTCAAGAATCCTCCAACAGAAGGATGTGAAAGGATAAGTACTTGAGGTGCCCATCCTTTGATTAGAAGCCCTCTCTCTTTGACCCTTTCTTCAAAGCCGCTCTCAAAGAACCACTCAGAAAGCTTATTATACTTTTCCCAACCTCTTATAACCCAAATAAAAGGCCTTTTGGATTTCTCTAGACCTAACCCTATCTCCTTGAGCTGAGACAGAGGAAGATTGCAGATACTTCCAAGGCAAACATATAGCACTGACCCTTCTTCTTTAGAATCAAGCCATTTAAAACATTTATTTTGATCAATGACCGCCTTGTTTCCCCTCTTAGCTTTATCTGCTCCTATTTTGTTGCATAAGGAAACGGGTCCAATGGACCATACTTTCCCGGCTCTAGCCTCCTTGTAGTCTTTGACATAAGCAGCTTCCAACTCCTGAAATGTGTTGAGGATTACACCGTATGATGTGTTTTCTGCTTCGACCAATTCGTCCATAAACTCTTTCCATTCTCCACTGGCATTTGCTTCTACGGGAACTTGAGGCTTTGTGAATTCAACTCTTTCAGGAAAATTAGGAACAAAGAAGTACTCTTTCTCCGACTTTAAATTCTTCAAGATCTCGAGGTTCTTGCGTATAATATATTAATATGCATACACAAAATACAAAAGCAAGACATTCCATTGAAAACAATCTTTGGTATATTCAACTTCCTTGCGATTTTGCTTGTATAAGGCAACAATAAATCAGAAATCAAACAGTTTGGTGTAGGTTTCATCTCTTCAAGGAGCTTCATGACCGGCTCTTCAAGCATGTTAACCGCTTTAAAGAAAGGTACCATCAACTCCATCGAGTCAAGCGAATCGATATTATCTTGTCCTTCTGGCAACCCAAATTCTTGATATGACAAGTCTACATGCACTAGGTTGATGGGCAAACCAGACTCGATGGCACGGTTTAAGACATTCTTGAACCTCCCTGCGTTGTGACGCGTGGTAACAATTGTTATGGTCACTCCACGCTGAGCCAAGAGCCTAGCAATATCAACCATGGGAATCATGTGCCCTTGAGCCATGAAAGGGAAGAGAACAAAGTGAAGAGGAGGATCATGTTGGTGGTTTTTTGGGGAAGCCATGTTGGTTCCAACTCAATAATTAAGGAACGTTCAAGTTTTGTTCTACTTAGAAATTGTGGGTGTGTAATCTTGACGTTTTATAAGAAGAGTGGGATAAAAAAAGGTTTGAACAAATGAACTAATAGATGACGTAAATATTGTTGTGAATGAAATATATATTATTACAATGGGAATTCGGCCAAAAAAAACACGAACTTTGCACGAATTGCCAAAAGAAACCTATACTCGACCCTGACCAAAAAAATACTATACTTTTGTTGACTTTTTAATTTTATTAAGAAACTTTTGATTGACTGGCCAATTTGACACGCCGTTAATTCGCAGTTTAGACAGTGTTAAGTTTCCGTTAAATCTTGCCATTAAGTGAAACGACGTCGTTTCATCTATTTGAAAAAAAAAATCGTAGACCCCTGGATTTGAACCCATGTTGGTTAAGTCAAGCGACATGGTATTCTACCACAGGGCTAGTGTTACTCTCTCTGTATTCACTAACATAATTTCTTTTATTGAGTACTCATTGAATATAAAAAATCTGTAAAAAACTTAAAAATACCTTTAAAATTACAAAAAATTGAAAAATAAAGATTATTTTAGAAAATTAATTTTGAAATTAAAATAAAAAACAAAAATTTCATTTTTTTATTTTTTAGAAAATCAAAAAATTTCCAAAATTTTTAAGAAAGTTTAATTTTAAATTAAATTATAAATAATATTTATTTTTTTTACTAAAAATGATAAAAAAATCGAAAATTTTAAAACAAATCCAAAAAATTAAAAACTCAAAGAAAATGCAAGCAAATTAAAGTTACAATTATCAACTTAAAATTAAAATCGCACTCATAATGGGTACAATAATTATTTTAAGCATTTTCATTTAAATGAAAATTTTGGAAGATATTTGATTTTTTAAAAGAAAAATGAAATTTTATTTTAAATTTAATTTCAAAATTAATTTTATAAAAAATTTCTTTATTTTTTCATATTTTGTAATTTAAAGGTATTTTTAAGGTTTTTAGAGATTTTTTTTATTCAATAAGTACTCAATAATACTAAATATGTTAGTAAATACATTGTAAGTAACTTTATCCCAGTGGTAAATTACCATGTCATTTAATCCAATTAACCCTGGTTCGAATCTCGGAGTCTAGGCCTTTTTATTTTCAATTTACTCGGATGAGAGAATGTTAAAAACAACTCTGTTCGTCAATACAATAAAAAGTCCATTATCCTAGTGGCAAAGTGCCTACCATTATCCCCAAGTGCTCAAGTTCGAATCCCTTGGAGCACGTTTTCACACCTTATTTTTTAAAACAAAAATACATAAAACGACGTCGTTTCATTATAACGCCCAAATTTAACGTCGTCATAAAAATCTGTTAACTGTACTAACGGTGTGTCAAATTGGCCAGTCAATCAAAAGTTTCTTAATAAAATTAAAAAGTCAACAAAAGTATAGTGTTTTTTTGGTCAGCCCATATGTACAGATTTCTTTTGGCAATTCGTGAAAAGTTCGTGTTTTTTTTTGCCGAATTCCCTTATTACAATTTACAAAGAGGACATTTTGTCTCCACTATTTTCTGTTGTCCGTTTCTGACCATTCTGCGGCTTCTAGTGTCCTTGATTTGCAGGAAAAGCTTACTATAAGAGTAGATTAATTCAGAATTAATATGACTCTTGATCCGCAAGACACAAAATCAAATTGGACTATCTCAGACGTTAGGAAAATCAAATTGTACTTGGAAACTTTAAAGTTCAATTCAAAGCCGCCAAATCAAACTTGGCCTTTTGTGACGGCTTATATCTATCAGAAGCCGCAAAAATCAAAAGAACCCTGTCGAGAATATGAGACCGCCACTCTAAATTGACTAACCCGGCAATCTTGTTCACGCTCTATAGCGTAACGCAGCGTTTGTCTATTTTATATACATCTATTTTATATACATCTATATATGTTTCCCTGTAGTTTGTAACATTTTATGATAGAAGAAACAAAAAAATTAACATGTTATATCAATACGTACTACACAGTCTACACTAATAGATTGACATTTGTCTATTTTGTATCGATTTTTTTTTACCATCCTATTTGCAATGTATTCAAACTACACATGTCTATTTGTATCCATATAACATGTTATTCTACGATTCTTGTATAGCATTATATTATACAACTCCAATATAACAAATATATAACTATTTAAATTATATATTGATTAAAATTCTATTGTACCAGAAATTGAATAATAATCTATCTAAGAAAACTTGTATTACACTCTATCTCATATTATTATCCGTATTTTCAAAAGTAATTTATGATGCTTCGAATATGTATGTTTGTATTTATAAATTTAAAATATAGCATAGACAGGAAAAAAAACTATGAGATGAAAATTTTTTTTAGCATTAAATATAATCAAACAATATAAAAAATGAGTGAACAAAAAAAGAAAGTTAAAGATATCAAATGAATTCGACTTTCACTTTTTTTTCAACATCTCTAATGCAAATCAAGTGGTAGTGGAATTTGAGTAATTTGAAGATAATATCTTAGAACATGAAAAAGCAAATTACACTATCTTTTGGAAGTTGGCTTTAGAAATTGAAAGTCATCACTGGCTTGTCCTCTGCTGGACGTGTTGACTTTAAGTCCCCGATTCTCCGCTAAAGCAAATTAAGATTGTTCAAATGTTTACGTTTCTTTGATAATGACGCAACTAATTTTTTTTTGACGTAATCAATTATTGGATTGTGCTAGTTGCATAATGTCTTCTAAGAGTAAAGTGATGTTAGAATGAGAAGAGCCTCCTTCTTCCACAGCCTTGTGAGCCAATTCTCCAAGCTCTTTGGCTCTTCTTCTTCTCTCTTTTGCATCATCACTCTCACCCATCAATTCTTCCACTGCCTTCTTCACTCCCTCTTTATCCACCAACACTCCTATCTTCTCCTCTTCCCCCCATTTCATAGGCTTCTCAACCCCAACTTTCACACCAGCTTTTAGTACTTGCACAACCAGCTTCTCGTTGCAGAATTGGTCTGCAAATAGTGGCCATGTAAGCAGAGGTAGACCAGAGGTTATCCCCTCAAGAGTTGAGTTCCATCCGCAGTGCGTTAAGAACCCTCCCACAGAAGCATGTGAGAGGATAATCATTTGAGGAGACCATCCTTTGATGAGAAGTCCTCTCTCTTTAGTTCTTTCTTCAAATCCACTCTCCAAGAACCACTCAACCAACTCTTTATATTTCTCCCAGCTTCTTATGACCCAAATAAAAGGTCTCTGAGATTCCTCTAGGCCTTTTCCAAGCTCTTTTAGCTGAGCCAGAGGAAGATTGCAAATACTTCCAAGGCAAACGTAAAGCACAGAGCCATGTTCCTTAGAATCAAGCCATTTAAGACACTCATCTTTATCAATGTCTGATCTGTTTCCCCTCTCAGCTTTGTCTTCTCCCACCTTATTGCACAAGGAAACCGGTCCAATGGCCCATACTTTACCTGACCTTGCCTCCTTGTAGTCTTTGACATAAGCAGGCTCCAGCTCTTGAAATGTGTTGACTATCACACCATAGGATGTATTGTCTGCATCTATTAAATCATCTGCCAATTCCTTCAACTCTCCTGTAGGAACATATGTTTCTACAGGAACTTGAGATCTTTTGAACTCAACTTTATCAGGAAAATAAGGAACGGTGAAGTACTCTTCGTCTGACTTCAAATTCTCCAAGATCTCAAGGTTCTTGCGCAAAACACGCATACATAAAAGACAAAAGCAGCACATGCCGTGGAAGACAATCTTTGGTATATTGAACTTCTTTGAGAGTTTGCTTGTATAAGGAACACACATATCAGAAATTAGACAGCTTGGTCTAGGGCTCATCTCTTCTATGAGCTTCTGGACCGGTTCTTCGAGCATGTTAATAGCTTTGAAGAAAGGTATCATCAGCTCCATGGAGTCAAGCAAATCCATGTTCTCTTTTCCTTCTGGCAGACCAGCTTCTTCAGATGGAAACTTCACTTGAACTAGTTTGATGGGTAAGCCAGACTCAATGGCACGGCTTAGAACATTCTTGAACCTGGCTGCATTGTGAGGCGTGGTGACAATTGTTATGGTCACACCGCGCTGAGCCAAGAGCCTTGCAATATCAACCATGGGAATCATATGGCCTTGAGCCATGAAAGGGAAAAGAACAAAGTGAAGTGGATAAGATTTGTTGGTTGTCTCTGAACCCATGCTGGTGATTGAACTGTAAAAAGAAACTCTCAAGCTTTGTTTTGATTTTTGTAATACATTTGTAAGGGCTTATATAGAATAAACGTGCGTGGAGAGCAAACAAATAAAGTGGACTGAAGACGTAAGAGATGACGTAAACAGATTTACTTGCCAAACACTTTTTATCCAGTCCACAGATTGTAATAACTTAGTTTGTCCGTTTGTGACCCATCTTGCATGATCCTGCGACTTTACTTGAAGATGACAGAGACGCATAATTAAATAATTTACACATCGACTTAAGTCAAGAAGATAAATCAAACTTTGGACGACTCTTCTAAGACAGCTATATCTATCAAAAGCCTCAAAAATCACAATCAACAAAAAAGGAACAGAGGTCCAGAGCTTACAACACTTCCTTGTGAATGTTTGTTTCTTGAGTTCGGTTATGGAGATGACCACACTAGTTACAGTTTTCATACAAGATGAAGACATAAAACACTTTACAACAAAAATGGTGGATATTTAGTAGTTCGGCTTCAGAGATTATTAAAATGCTTTAAGTATGTCATATGTAATTTCTCTAGTATACATGTTAATAGTAGAGTTAGATTAAATGCTGATCCTCTGAGAGACTGAGAGTGATAACATGGTTATGGAGAAGTGTATTGCGTCTGCCTGAATTACTGGCCACGGTGCATCAAAATGCTTGCACCGGATAGTTGCCAATTCAGTTTTATGGATATATATATACAGTAGATTATATGTTTAGCAACTATCTTGAAGAAAGTCTAAC